CTCTCTCTCTCTCTCTCTCTCTCTCTCTCTCTCTCTCTCTGAATGCAGTCCATGTTGCAACAAAATGTTGTGGTCACCATCCCACGAGCTCACACTCCTGGAGCCAGACTGCCTGGTGGAATTCTGGCTCCTCCACTTAGCCCTGGGACCTTGCAAAGCTACTTGGCCTCCACCAATGTGTTTGCTCCTTTGTGGTTACTTCTAGAAAAGGAAGGGAGATTATAGAAGGAGAAACAGGTCAGCTCTCACCTGAGCTGCACCTTTTTCAACTGGTGGTCAGCTTTATTTTGCAGTTGGAGGAAAAGTAAGGAAGCCCTGTATCGGCCCCGGGACCCTGGAATTGAATGTGTCTAAATGGAAGTACTCAACTGAGGGCATTTTCACAACTTGGGGACATTAGTTTCACATTGGCCGGGTGTGAAGCTGACTGGGTAGAAGCATTTTATGGGCCCTCACTCGTGCTTCTCACCTGCAGAGCCCATACAAACGTAGGGCTTACGTTCCTCCGGTTATCATCTTGCTTTCCTTAGTATAGGAAACAACAGGAACAAAACACCGTTCTGTAGCATTTCCTGTGTGCCAGGCAGTCTTCCGCACGCTTTCCTATACTAATTTATTTTTCTGCCACAACCTAGGAGGCAGGCTATCATTAGCTCCATTTTACAGGTGAGAAACGAAGGCACAGAAAGGTTAAGTAACTTGCCCAAGGCCCCACAGATTGGACACAAGATTCTAAAAATTGTGCACGTGGCCAAGTGGCCCCAAGTTGGCAGTGCAGGTCTGCACCTAAGGGGAGAACACATTCCCATTATCACTTCTTCTCCAGCACATCTGGCTCCCTGCTGCTGACCTGGCAGTTTTTTATTTGAACTTTAAGTGCCAAACTTAACAGGATTGTAATCTGAAAGCATGCTGATTCAGGAAGCTGCAAAGTCGCTTTACTCCGTGGATTCTGAAGTAGTAAGAAATGATGAATACAAAAAAAAAGCCCAGGCTTCCTGCTTTCAAGCTATCAGGTCTGGACAGAAAATCATTCAACGTTAGACACGGAAAGGGCCTTAGAGGTCATATCGTTTTACGGTTTCATTTTATAGGCAAGAAAAAGGCCTGGGGTGGAGAAGTGCTTTGTTCAAGCCCGTGAAACATATTTTCCAAAACGGCAGTTAGGTTGTTTAGATGGGCAAGTCAGATAAGTGTTACTGAAACACTACTATTAGGGTCCTAATGATGGAAATGGACATATGGTATTAGTTTGGTGAGCTCCTACAGCAACCTGAGTTCAAGTGACTTAATGCATATAACAAGGTCACCTCACCTAGACAGACCATTTCTAGCACCGGGCATGCCATTGTTTCTGGAACCACGACACATTTGATGACTAGAAGCTGGTTATTGATGTCAGAGAGGAAGAGAGAGGGAAACATCAATGATGAGAGAGAATCATTGATTGGCTGCCTTCTATATCCCCCCTGCGGGGGATCAAGCCAGCTACCCAGGCATGTGCCCTGACCTGGAATGGAACTGTGACCTCCTGGTTCATAGGTTGATGCTTAACTACTGAGCAACACCATCCAGGCCTGACATCCTCTTAAAACAAGTAGCTCTCTTGGTGCCATGATGGCTTTTATTCAGTGTTTCCAATCAGTGTGCTTTGGATACAATTCTAATGATCACTGTTACAACAGCAGTCAGCATTACCCTGCCATTCATTTGAGGGTAGAAAGGCAGTACTGCCCTGGTGGTTGAGAGCCTGGGTTTGAATTCAAGCTCTGTGCCTTACTGGTTTATGACCTTGTGCAGTTACAGCTTATCTATCTGTGCCTCAATATCTCCATCTATAAAATAGGGATAAAAATAGTACCTATACCCCATGAGGTTGTTGGAAGGATTAAATGACTTAATATATGCAAAGCACTTAGGGTAGGGCTTGGCATGTCTTAAGTGCTAGTATGAGGGTTGTCTGTCACTCTTTCTAGACGAAGAAGCTGAATTACAGTGGGATCACTTCAGACTGTTTCGTGGAGCTGAAAAAGTACTTACTATTTCTGTTTCCCAGACTAAGGTTGGGCCTTGTTTTATAGCTTGAGTGGGACCTTAAAAAAACAGTTTTCCAAGATCATTTACCAAGAAATTGACTCAATTTACAGAATTGAAACCCTTGCCAACCTTCTGAAGTCTACTTCTGTATCGTTTCCAAAAGCAAGCAAGAAAGAAAGCCAGCAAGGGGGAGAAAAATAAATTCTGCTCCTTAGTCTGCATTTTGAATCCCAAGTAGAAAATTGTAGTAAGCACAAACAAGTTAATGCAGTCACTATCTTAGAGGTTTATGCAAATAACTTTCCCAAATAGATCATAAGCTAGTACGTACTATAGTCGGTAGAGGGTCAAGATCTATATGTCCAGAAGTGTGGAGACAAAAGAAAAATGACAGCCTTTACTGAATTTCATATGGACCTTAAGTTATCACCTAGGAGTGTAAATAGGCGAAGTGTGTTTTGTAGCTCTATGGAACAACAGTAACTTAAAAATTTTTTTTATTTCTTTCAGAGAGAGGAAGGGAGAGGGAGAGAAACACCAATGATGAGAATCATTGATCGGCTGCCTCCTGCACACCCCCTCCTGGAGATCTAGCCAGCAACCCAGGCTTGTGCCCTGACCAGGAATAGAACCCTGACCTCCTGGTTCATGGGTTGATGTTCACATTCAACCACAGCCACACCGGCCAGGCCATAGTAACTTATTTTTAATGACTATAGACTGGGCTTTCATAGACTTTTTTCTAACATCCCTAGGAGCATCCTAAAATAAGGGCATTAAAACATGAAGAAGAAAAAAAAGGAAATTTCCAAGTGAGTTCTTGCTTCTTCATTTTTAGAGACAGTACAGTGCAGTGGAATCAGATTCCAGTTTTAACTCGGGATTAACAATTTATCCCTCTCAATTGCAGTTTCTAATGTGAAATAAGGCTGATAAGATTAATCCTGTTGTATTTTTAAGACATGCACGTAAAGTGAGTATCCAGTGATTGTTAGTTTTCCTTTCTGCTTAGACATAAGAAATAATATTTTGATTAGAAAAAGGTGCCCGCTCTGGGAAGACAGTGTCACGAGTATGTGGTTTGGCCATTGGTAGTATGGGCTCAGTAGAAGGCTCTTCTAGCTCCAGGCTTCCTCACGCCAGGGCCCAGCTTGGTGAATCAGAGAGCTTGGGAGCTCCTGGCACAACCCTATGTGGCAGTGCTATGTAAATGATAAGGAGCCAGAGGTGACATTCGGGACAAAGAGCTTTCCTAGTAGAGAAAATAGCAAGTGCAAAGGCCCTGAGACGGGGGTCGAGCCTAATGGGCTTGGGAACACGAAGGCCCCTGGGTTGAAGAACAGTTATCCATGGGAAGACTGATAGGAGATGATCACCCTTTGGAAAGGTGAGCAGGGCCCAGATCACAGTTTCATGCAGGACAAGGATAGGGGATTGGATTGTGTCCTAATTGTATAGGAATCCACTGGAGGGTTTTATACATCATCTGAATTCTGTTTTCAAAAAGTCATTCTGGCCATTATACAACCAGGATGTAAGGGGTGAGAGTGAGAGCGGAGAGACCAGGAGAGGAGGCTGTGTGAGGGATGTGGTGCTTCCTTCAGGGTAGTGATGGAGAAAGGAGAGGTATGGGGAATGTTCTGGAGGTGAGCATCACAGAATTTCTTGATAAAGGGTGTAAAGAGAAGAGGCATTAAACATGACTCCTTAGATTTTGGCTGGAGCAGCTGGGGTGATGGTACTGCCATGGACTGGAAGTTAGGAAGACTAGGTGTGGGTGTGCAGGTTTGAATAGGTGGAATCAGAGTTCTGGATATGTTAGGTTTGAGATTCTTATTAGACATTCAAGTGGAGACCGCAAGTAGGCAGTTGGATTTATGAGTGTGGAACTTCAGGTCAAGGCTAAAATTGTAACTTGGACTCATCAGCTTATAGATATTATTTAAAACCATGGGCTGGATGAGTTGATCCAGAGGAAGCCTAGAGCAGCCAGGACCAAGCCCCAAGGTACTCTTACTCTTGGAGGTTGGGCATAGGAGGAAGTGGCTGCAAAGCAAATTGAGAAGAGAGGGGGAAAATCTCATGGTACCCAGAGCTGTATGTCGCATATGCCAGGGGGGCTACTGCAGAGACCAAAGGTGATGGCCTCCCTGATAGAACTGTCCTTTGGAGAGTAAACTGATTTGCTAAGTGATAAGCACTGTGTCTCTGCAGCTGTCTAATCAGTATGTACTTTGGTTGCTTTTACCTACTTTGCTACTTTTATATAAAATTATGCACAAGAGTTGTTAATCTGTACTTAAAACCAAGTACTAGTTTGCCATTCCCCCTCCCCTTGTTATATGAACATTCTGTTACTGCCTTTGAGGCTGCTTATTTATAAGGATGATTGTTTAATTTCATTTTTGTTTTGATTGACTTTTTTCTTTCTTTCTTTAACTTGGCTATCTGTAATAGAAAATCTGTCTGCAGTAAGAAGGGGTTACTTCTCCTTACAACAAGATAGCTAAAGGCAGATGATCTAGCAATTCCATAATTCCATCAAGGATCCAGACTTATTCTGCCTTTTTAATCTACCATCCTCAACTGATAGCTTTTCCCTCAGGCTTGCCTGATGGCTGCAGACCTCTGGCCATCACATCTATATTCCAGCTGGAAGGACACAGAACAGAAGATCTGTCCTAGCTGAATCTCTTCCTTTCCATTAAGAAAACAATAGCTTTCTTTGAAACCATGTCAACAGAAATCTGCTATCTCTCTTTGACCAGAACTAGACCTAATAGCCATGTCATGTTGCAAGGGAAACTGGGAAGGTAACTATTTGTTTTTATTCCTGTGTCATTCATTTAATTATAATTAGATATTTAGCAGGACTTGAGTATCCTGTACATATCACATTCTAGCCTTAAAAAAGATATTTAAAAATGTCTTAAAACATTTAAAAAAGTTATTTCTTTAAAAAATTCATTTTAAACAGCTTAATTTTAATGGATGTACAGTAACATTTGCCCTTTTCAGTGTACAGTTTTTTGAGTTTTGGAAAAAATAAGAAAGGTGACTATATTTAACTATGAATACTGATGCTCCCCCATTGCTCCATGTTCCCATAATGGAAAAAGACAATCGTTTAACACAACAGAGTAGTTTAAGAAGAGAATCCTTATCCAGTGTACCCAAGCGAGGCTTTCTGAGATGAGATGACATGGAATACAGTTAGAGTAAGAAGGTTCCCCTGAGTCCAGGGGGCAGTTTGCATCTCAGGAGCACCTGACCTTAACTGTGAAGTTTCTGCTTTGCTGAAAAACCACCCCTGGGGGCGTTTCCTTCTAGGCAAGGATGAGCTTGGATCCCAGCTTGACAGTGGGGGGTGGTTTGAGGAAACACATGGTTTTGTTGTCAAGATTGGAGTGAGGCCCAAAATGGATGGATAGATAAGCCAGCTAACAGCTGTTACATGTACATTTTCATTAGTCATTTCCATTTCCAGCCTGAGTGATAAATGATATGGTAATGAATGATAATATGGAAATTTAAGTCATTGATGATCAGTATCAAATTTACCATATTAATGAAAGGTCTGTCATGGTCCCCCAATGTGAATACATGATCATTTCATCACCAGCATTTATTGATCACCTACACCAGATGCTTGCCATACATTTTCTCATTTCATCAACCGCTTGTGTCGTTGTATGTTGAATCTTCTCTGGAATAAAAGATAGGTGATTTGGGCTTGATGCTTCACTGTCAGTTTTATGCAGGATGTGTTAAGATGTAACTCACATTTATAGACTTGCTTGGTAGTCATCTGTACAAATGTCTGTTTCATTAAGAAAAAAAGAACAAAGGAGAAGTAAGTCAAAAGCATGATCAATATCTTGTGTATTTTTTTAAAAATATATTTTATTGATTATTTTACAGAGAGGAAGGGAGAGGGATAGAGTTAGAAACATCGATGAGAGAGAAACATCCATCAGCTGCCTCCTGCACACCTCCTACTGGAGATGTGTCCACAACTAAGGTACATGCCCTTGACCGGAATCTAACCTGGGACCTTTCACTGAGCCAAACCGGTTAGGGCAATATCTTGTGTATTTTAAAAATAGGTAAAGACTATCAATTTTAGGTTTGATTTTTTTAATTTATAAAAACATCTTAACTTACATGGATCTAATTTAAAATTGATGTACTCTAGTGAGATATCTCCTTAGTGCCTGTTCCTCACTTCACTGCGTATAATTTGCATATAAAGTTCCTTCATGTTTATATTAAATTGTTTTCAGTGAACATTATTTCATAACTCTGCCACTATAACTTGGTATTTCTCATCATTTCTGGGCTTCAATTTCTTTTGTAAATGAGGCAGCTGGGCTATTACTTATTAGCCAAAATTTTTCCAGCTCTAATATCCCCTGATAACTAAATATCGACTATCCACAGGGGAATAGTGGAAATATAGCACAAATGACACTAGAGTCTTCTTTGGAGAACAAGTTTACTTCAAAACATGGATGCTACTTAATGGGCCATAACTTTCCTGTTGTTCATGAGTCAGCATGAAAAATAGCTCCAGAGAAGGCTCAGTGGGTCAGATTTATCTAAGAAGACAGCTGTGTAATCCTGTATCCCTCTCCAACCCCTTGGCACTGCAGATACATGTTTCTGGCCTTTTGAACAACAGTCAAATAGCATTACCCACTTTGCAAAGTCCACAAGACCACAACGTGGAAAATCAAGCGGGCCTTTAAAAGGTTCCGGGAGAACAAAATAGAGCTGTGTTTGTACATAGGCCACAGCTATTTTTCTCTTTCTTTAAGTCATTTCCATTGATTCTGTGATACTGGTTGGTGTGGGAAAGACTTGTAGTAAAAAAGTAAAATTATTTAAAAGTTAGTAAAGAAGTTTTGTGCCACGACTTTTTATTCAGCCTGTTTAGTAAAATCTATTAGGCCATCAGTTTTTGCTTGGTCTCCTTTCTGAGTAGTATAGTCATAACAGGTCTTAAAAATACATGTTGTAAATAACTAGGCCAATGTGAGAACTTTCACTTAAAAACAAACTTTGAGGATGCAGTTACTGCCTAATGGGGCTGTGCGAGTATTCTTGTCACAAGAGGTCCCTTTAACACCACAGAGAATCTTCAGATCCAAAGGGCAAATACAAACCTAGAGAATGACATGAAGAGAAAAAAAGGGACATATTGGAATGGGACTGGAGAGCCTTGCTAAGGAAATAAGCAGACTGGCCCAGCAATTAGGCTATTTAACCTTGTTTAGAGTTTTCTCCAGACACAGTGTGAGACCGGGCTTACAGTACTGTATTATGTCCTTTAGAGAGAGAGAGAGAGAGAGAGAGAGAGAGAGAGAGAGAGAGAGAGAGAGAGAGAGAGAGAGAGAGAGAGAGAGAGAGAGAGTTCTAATTGATTTAGTCCTCCGGCATCTGTCCTGCTATTTGACCACCCCTTTTCCATTGTCTAGACTGCAAGGCACCAGAAGCAATTAAGTAGAGGATCAACGCAAGCAGACAGGTGTGCCCCGGTCACTTTCCTTCTTTATTCTACACTGCTCATATTCTCTGAATTTCATACAAGCTACTCTGGAAGCAGCAAATGAGTAGGGGTGGAGGGGGGAATCTGAAGATTGTCAATACTTCCAGGTGATGCAAATAGGTTCCTGAATAAATCTTTGCATGATATTAAAAGAGATCTCAGATCTTAGACGTAGTTTTCCGTTCTAAGCATCAAAAAATAGGGCTAGAAAATGTATTTCCTAGTATTGCTTCTATTATCCCGTTAATGTTAGAAACAGGCAACTTACCACGTCCTCGACCCCCACCATGTTGCAGAAGAGGCTGGCTGAATTTTGCAACATGAATCCGAAGGGGAGTACGTGCAAGATCTTTGAAGCTACAAATCCCCTAGGAAGAGGCTTCCCCACCTGTCACAAGCTGGATCGTCTCCACGGAGGGCGCCGGGCGCACCACCGCCACGCGGCGCTGAGGTCAGCCTCTCGGGTCTTGGGAGAGCTCTTTTTATTCTAAATTACAGACTTTGCAGCCACCGGATATCCTCGCTGCAGAACTGGCAGTAGCCATGTGGCTGCACTCGCGTTTCCTGACAACCACTGCATTATTTCCACTAATATCCTGTCTCAGGCTTCTCGCTGGGCAACTCCTCACTCCCACCACCCACCGTCGCCCCCCTGCCGATGGGCAATAACCCTAAACAAAGCGAAGGCCCCCCCCCCCCCCCCCCAAAACGTTGAAATCGCACTTGGCGACAGTCCCTCCCGGCAGCTCTAAGTCACAGCCGCAGAAAGTGCCTGCGCCCCGCAGATTGGGGCAGACTCGCAGCCCTGAGCTCTGCGCCGGGGCGGGGCGCCCGCGGCCAAGGCGTTCGCATTGTCCACGTTCCCCGCACCCCGCCGCGTTCCGTCCCCCCCTATCTGTGGCACACACGCGCGCAGGGCGAGCGGCGCGCCCGGGGCTGGAGCTGCAGCAGCAGCTGCGGCGGCGGCGAGGGCGGGGGCGGGGGCGGCGGCGGGGCGGGCCCGGCGGGCGGCGGGGGCGGGCCCGGGGCGAGGCAGCCAGGGCGCCAGCGAGCAAGCGGCGAGCGCGGCGAGCACCGAGGGAAGCGCGAGCAGCAGCATGGCGGGGCTCCGACGCCCGCAGCCCGGCTGCTACTGCCGCACCGCCGCGGCCGTGAACCTCCTGCTGGGCGTCTTCCAGGTCCTCCTGCCCTGCTGTCGTCCGGGAGGGGCTCAGGGACAAGGTCAGCCTTGCGCCGCTCCGCTGGCTTTTCCTCTCCACCCTGCCCCCCCACCCCCCCTTCTCTTTCTTGTAGGGAACTGCTGCAATCTATTAGAGGACGAGGGGAGGAAAGGGAAAGGGGCAGGAGGAGGAAGGAAAGCGGTTGCAATTCTTGGCTGATAACATTTTCTAACCGCAGCGTCCCCTCCCGCCTTCCCCGCCCCCATGCAAACAGAAAGCTGGGAAGTCGCGGGGCTGGGGGACCGTGCGGACCGCTAGCCGCGCGCGCCCTGGAGCCTTTGTGCGCGGCCCCCCGGCACCCCAGGCGCAGCCCCCGCTTTGTGTGGCGCGCGCTAGGGCCCCGCCGCGGCCCGGCTTCCTGCAGCTTTGTTCCTCGAGCCGGGCGGCCCGGGACCCATCCTGCAGATGCCCGCCCCAGATGCTGCGGGATGCGAGCGCAGAGCAGCCCGCGGGGCGGCCTCCGATCGGTCCCCCAGCACCAGACCCCCCGGCCCTGCTCGCTGTCGCCTCTCTGTCACAGGGACCGCCGGCTCACACCCCGTCCATTGTGTTCACATCCTTGGCTCCCTTCTCGGGTGGCCTGGGCTTTCAGAAGGAAAGGGAGACTTGTTTGGGTGAGGCGGGTGCATAGGGGACGGTAGGGGAACAGGAAGCGTTTCTTTTCCGTGCATTAAAAACTCGGTGTGTTTTTTGGTTCGTGTAGCGATTGAGCCCTTGCCGAACGTGGTGGAGCTGTGGCAGGCAGAAGAAGGGGAACTCCTGTTGCCCACTCAGGTGAGGACGGTCAGGTGACAGGGCGGGGTGGGGGTGGGGGTGCGCATGTGGAGAGGCCAGGAGGCCGCGGGCCCCCCCAGTGGCACAGACGCTCGGGCCACTTTGCAAGGCAAATAAACGGTCGGGCCAAGTCTGAACACCTGGCAACGGTGGCCTTCCCAGCCTCCTCCCGCGCCATGTGACAGGGCGTGAGTCACGCCTGCCCCAAGTTCAGGAGGTGGGAGCTGAGGCCACCTCAGCAGGGCCGGGCCTGCTGTACAGAGGGGAAGGGCGGGCCCCTGGGCCAGCTGTGGTCCTGGGTGGGCGAGGGACGTGTGCCCTGTTCTTTAAGCGACATGGTGCAGTGTGTGTGAGGACAACAGGAATATTGATTGATTAGAGATGGTACTTGCCATTATCGTTAAGTAGCTTTGAGATGACGATGTGACTTTAAAGGATTGTAGTCTTGGATTTTCCCCCCAGTCCCTTTAATTCCTGTTAGAATACAACTTGAATTTCCTGTTTGGGGTTTCCTCCCCATATGATACAATGATTGCATTTGGAAAAAAAAAATACTAACATTTTATTGGAATTTGTGGCATCATAACAGGGTTTACTGCCGCAATAGACACAGTACTGCAAAGCTTTTGTGTTTAAGGTTTAACTTTCAGGAGAAATTCTCATTGGCGGAAGATGTATACATTTAAATATAATATTGCCAACTGTTTCTCAGCATGGACGCATTTTCCCCCTTTGTGGAGAAGTGGTTTGAATTATAAGGGGATATTCAGCCTGTGTGCCACAATTTTTAAGATGTTCGTTACTGCCACATTGGTGGAGCACTTGGTTCTATGCTGTCTCTTGTGGCTGTTTAGAAAAACAGGATGTCTAGCTGTAACTTCACTGGCCAGGCTGTGCAGTTTTACATTTCGATTTTCTCCCTCCTATGTGAAGCATTTAGAGTGCTGGTTTTGAGATATTTGGAATATTCATTTTAACCAGAGCTAATAAATAACAGCTTCAAGGCGGAGAGGTGATTTTTAGAGGAACTTTTTTCTGGACCTTCCTTAAGGCCAGTAGGCTGAATAAGACCAGTCCTTTGAGAAAAAGCCTGCCTTCATCTTAAAAGTTTATTCCCAAATGGAGGTTTTCCTTGATTATAAATGACAGATGTGTATTGTTGAAGGTTTGAAACATACCGAAAGGTAAAATGAACAAATCAGAAATTGTTCCTAACCCTACGGAGAGAACCACAGTTGACATTTGAAGTATTTAGTGTTAAAAAAATACAGTTATATTTGTATAGATCAGAGTCACTCAGGAGCGGCATGAGTGACATTTTGGGCTGGAGAATTCTTTGGGGTGGGGGGCTGTCCTGGGCTCTGGAGGATGTCAAGCAGTTAGAGCATTTCTGCCTCTACCCACTAGATGCCAGTGGCACTCGCCTCTCCCTCTCTTTCCCCCAGTGTGACCGCTAAACATGTTTCCAGATGTAGCCAAGTGTCCCTGGGGAGCAGAAGTGCCCCGTGGAGAAGCCCTGGTGTATATCTATATTCATTTGCTTTTTTACTCACTTGGAGCCTCTGCCTCTTACTGGTTAGTGTTGGAAGCCCACCTAAGCTGAAGAAAAGGAAGGGATAGACTCTGATTGATTGTTGCATTAGTTGAAGATTTAGTCACTCTGCTGAGAGATGGAAGTGTCAGGCCCCTGATAGGATTTTGTTATAAGCTCAGGCATTATTGTATGAAATTCTTAATTTCTGGTTTTGTTTATATGTATAATACACTTTGTTGTGGTAAAAAAGCCTTAGAATTTAGGAGCTGTCTTTCTGGAGTGCTCACTATAGAAGCATTTATAGCTAAGCTACCTTAATGAAAGCTGTAGTGAAAGTGAAACTGGTATATTCAAAGTAATTTTCTAAATACTTCATCTCTATATGAGTTTCTTTTAGAGACTTATCCTGCATATACCTGGGTGGGGTGAGGAAAGATACAGATCTATCTATAGCTGTCTATTTAAACTGCATTATGTGTATATATATCAAAACTGTATAAATACACACACATATAGTATAGGTATGTCTTACATGTATATAAAAACTGCAGCGAAGTTCTGAAGAAAGTTATTTTTAGGGAATTCTTCTCAAAGTAGTTTTAATTTTTTTCAGAAAAGCTTCCTCATGTGTCATGAAGTCCGATGGAAAGATAATATTTATAGGTGTTATTTAAATTTGGGAGTTTTCTGCTTACTTAGCTTGTAGATTGGGTTCCTTTCATTTAGAGAGACTTAAAGATGGCTTCAAAAGCTACAATTTTTTAATTACAGTTGAAATAGGAGCATCAGAAGATGTGGCATTTAAAAATCAAATACTGACATTTGCCAACACTAGTTATTTATACAGTTATTTAGTTTGGAAATGTTTTCTCTTGATTGGGCCTTTTGTTTTCTAATGGGTTTCAAAGTAGATCAAGAATTTTAGTAACGCTTCATTAGTAACACCAAATGTAATAATTGAATTGTTTTAAACTGCCAGACCCTCTGGCCAGCTGGCCAGGATTTGACTCCCTGCTCCATCATTTTTCACCTCTCTGACCTGTTTCTTCACCTGCAAAATGGGGGTATAATGGAACTGAGTAAGCACTTACTATATGCTGCCTGCTACGTTGGCAGTATCCACCTGCCCCTCAGTGATTCGGTCACTGGAGAGCATGGAACCTCTTTCCTGCTTTGAAGGGGCTGATCTGTGCTGATAGCTCAGGCTGTTCTGTGCCCTCCAGCTGTACAGATGAATTGTATTGTGTATATTTTTATGCTACATGCTCTTCTATGTTCTATAATAGTTTGGTGTAGGAAGATAGGAACTATCCATTGCGATAATGAGAAGGAAGGAAAAAACCGTGGTTTTTATTCTTAGATTTACAGAATTTGTCCTTTCTTTTGACTTTGCTTCACATGACCACACTTCATCACACTGTATCGAAAGCGGTGGTGGTGTAGCAATAGCATGTGCAAGAAGTAATTGCATGTGTGCAAGATACTGCTTTGCCCAACTTCTTACTTCACCTTCAAGGTCAAAAACCTTCTGTGATTCTCTGCCATCCACTTGACCTGCTCTGGCCCTCTGGGCCTTCCGCATTCTGACCTTGACTGTTGTTGCTCCTGTCAGTCTTCTGGGACACTGACTTCAGCCCGAGTGTTGGCCGAGCAGGCCCAAGATGTTTCTGTTGAACGAAAGAACTGGTGCTGTTGCCCTGCTCTTTGAACAGGGACGGTCCTTCCTGACTCCTGGCTTGCCAATGGCACCTTCATTTCTCCCTCTTTGAGTTTCTCGAGTGTCTGGATTTTTTGCTTTGTCTTGTTGCCCTAATTTAGTTCCCCTTAAGAGGGTTTGGTCTTCTAAGCTGGTTGCCCCAATGTAACCACAATGTTC